AAATTAGTAGAAAGCCTGGGGCATCACATCTGCTCTTTCTCCTTGCTACTTAAAGTATAATGAACAGATGGAAATCTAAATTCTACCACTCACAGTCTTCACCTTGACTGTTAAAAGGCAAAAAAGTAATGAGCTTTCAGAAATGTCAAAGGGAGGTTGTAACGGGAACACTTAAAGCATTTCTAATAGATGAAACACACTCCATAATATTTCTACTGTTTGATCATTTATGAAATAAACGACTCCCTTTCCAAATTCTTGATGGTCTTTTTAAGGCATTAAAATATCTTATGTACCTGCAACACAAATAACACTTGAGAGAAAAGAAGCATAGTGGAGGCTAGACTGAAGAAATGGAGAATGTACTATTCTGAAGGCATTATTTAGACGGCGTGCTGTTTGACTGGAGGAACTGTGAATATTACAGTGGAATATCACAGAATCACAGAATGGCTGAGGCTGGCAGGCAGCCATTTTATCCACTCACCTGTTCAAGCAGGGTCAACTATAGCAAGCTCCGCAGGATCACATCCAGACAGCTTTTGGATATCTGCAGGGACAGAGTCTCTACAATCTCCTTGGACAACAAGTGTCAATGTTCGATCACCCGGACAGTAAAATGTTTTTTTTTTCTAAAGCTGAAACTTCTCTTACATTTAAGCACAATGTTTGTGTCTTATTTTCTCTTGTCCTGTCACAGGGCACCACTTACAAACAGCTTGGTTCTTTCTCTAGCAATATTTGCACACACCCTCTGAGCTGCTGCTTCACCAGGCTAAACAGCCTCAGCTCTCAGTCTTTCCTCACAGGAGAGATGCTCCAGTCCATCATCTCAGTGGCCCTTCACTAGTCACCCTCCAGTATCTCTCTCTTGTACTGAGTATAGCATTCCAGGTGAATATGGATGATAAAATCTAACTAAACATATGATGTGTAGAGCACTGATTATTTGACACAATAATATAAAGACCTATTTCTTCTCCAATTGGTCAACACTAATTTTGCAGTGTGAGAAATAATTTATATATAAGTAACAAAAGTTAATGAAAATGAGGATAGGATACTATTTGGTTTTTAGTGCCCAACCCACTTCCATTTACATTAATGTCTTTAGAACAATATCTAGGTGATCCATACTGTACTTATGAAGAAAGCAGTTTACTGTACACAAAACCAGCTATTCTGTTATGCCTAGACTTGATGCTGGTCTTTACTTAATATCACTATTTCAAGGGAAGGTGGGAAAAGGGTTTCTTCTGTATGTATATATATAAACAGTTAAATTTCTAAAGCTTTCTTCAACCTGCCCGTTCTGGATTACAACTTCACTGGCTCTCTATACCACACTAACTGTGAGGGGTTGAATGCCTCAAGTTGGAGGTACTTGACACATCCCATGGTTAGATCTGAAGAACACACTTCCTTCTTCCACAATGGTCCCACAGCAAACACAACATGCTATTATTGCCTTCACACTATTATGTATGTACCTCAGACTGGAAACCCCTGTAATTCACAATGGAGCTATTACTCCACTGTGAAGGAAAGATTCAACTTTATTACACTTATTTCAGGATAAACTTCAGCAAAGAATTGCCAGGATCAGACAAAAACTTGGGACTTCTGGAAGGATATCTGAGAAGTCATTTACAGCTACATACTCTCATGGTACTTGATGGTAAAGGAACTGGTTCTTTAAGTCTCTAGTATTTCCCCAAGACTGAGGGAAACCAGGTTTCAAGAGAATGTTTTTGTAGGTTTTAAAATTACCGATTTTAAGTTTCTGCAGTTAACAACATGAAAACTTGCAGTTGACCTGTGATTCTATGGTTCTGTGACCTATTCCAGGCAACTTTTCAGTTCCACTCTGACTAAAGGGAGAAAGAAAGAAGCATGGAACATCTGCTATGTTAGTATCAAGATAGTTTATGTGTCTTATGCCCAGTACTGCACTAGAAAAAGAAATCTGTCCAGATAAAATCTGAACTTATCCTATGTACTTTTAAATTCTTCATAATCTTGCTGTGATTATGCAGTTCACGCCACCATCCTGGTCAAAGATTTTTTACATATGAAGAAATAACCTTGACATTGATGATGGCTTGAAGTCAGTCTTGCTGTCTTTAGGGATGATATTACTCTGGAAAACACTAGATCAGTGTGCTACAGCTCTTCTGTAGTCTACATCTTGTGTTAGATACAGGCCCAAAGGACATCCAACTTCAAATTTCTCTTTTGACTCTTTTCCAAGAACACCATCTACGTGGATTCTAGAATATTTTTCTGCAATGTATCTTAAGCGTTTGACCTTTTTTCCACTTCACTCTATTTGCATTGTTAAGATTACTTGACAATTAAACTATACATATAAATCTCTGCTCTCCATTACATAATATCTAAGTATCATGGGAAGACACATCCAGGGGCAACTAAATAAAAGGAGATGGGAAGGAAGAAAAAGAAAGAGAAGCATCTATCTCTGCAGTGATCTCTACAGGAACTAATGCTTATGTACAAAGTTATTAAATATCCATAATAACAAATAGATGGGGAAAAATACAATAAATAATAAAGTTTACACATGACATAAAGATTGAGGTTGTCATAAATTATGAAACAGGGTTCTATCTTGTAAACTGGGAAAAGACAAATACATTTATTCCAGTGTGGCCAAATATAAATTTATAAACCAAGGACCAAAACTGAAGAATGCTATTTTAGATTAAAAGAAAAAAAAAATCACAAAAAGCTATAGGTAATGGACATATACCATTGTTCAGCAACTATCACAGCCAAAAAGGTTAACATAAATAAGGGCTGTACAGATAAGGGATTATCAAATATGGATATGGTAATATCACTTTTTGTTATAGTTTCAAAATAGTTATATCACTATTTGTTATAGTATAACCAGTGCTATAGTACTCTGACCATTCTATATTTAAAGAATTAAACATTAAAACCACTTGATTCTAACTAAATGCCTCATATTATGCAGAAGGTCAAACCACTTTACAAAAATGTTTTGTCTTTGCAAACTTGCAGTACATTGAACACGGCTAGAGGAATGCTTAAATAACATACAACTCCAAACGTTCAATTATGTTGACACACTCAGCACTCTGTGAGATGGCTGAAAGAACTTACAAAAGGTAGGTTTTGAATAGCAATCTGAAGGAAACAAAGAAAAGTTGAGTTGCAGATGTAACGGGGGAAGATAATTTCATATTAAAGGAGAAAAAAAAATCCTCTTAAGCAAAACATGAAAAAAAAATAAAGTAGCAGAGCTGTGTAACTAAAGCAGAGATGAGGTAGAGGTACCAATAAAGCTGTGTATAACCATGAAAGAATAAAAACTATTTTGGTATAGTAAAGCCAATAGGAACATTTTCTCAAGAGGAAGTGTGAACAAAGCCCATGAGAGGAAGAAGAGTTTGGCAGCAACATTTGGACTGCCTGGAAGGAAACCAGGTTTGCATCACAAAGGCCAGAAAGTACTGTAATCCAGAAGGGAGATTATCCAAGACTATAAGTATTTTCAAATCTATCCTAATAAAAGATATACACAGAGAAGAACTATGCCTAGGGAAAGACATCAGATTCATCTTACACATCCTAGCAAGATGGAGAGCACTGTCACTTCTGTACAGAAGCTGAGTGGGTTCTGTTTGAGTAGCCTTGCCAGAGCAATTTAATTTTCCGGCTCAATGCTATTCAGCAGAAATTAAATATCAATAAACAGAGGCAACATTATCAGTGCACATCACATGTAAGATACCACAAACCAGAAAACATTATAAAAATGAATGAAAGCATGTGTTCAACCAAACTCCTTAGTTTGTGGGGAATGGTGACCTGCTGCTCCTCAGGTAGTATTCTTCCTTCTTCCTGCCCTTCCCGGGGCAGACATATTAAACAGTTAGAATCTGGATTACAGCTTCCATACCACGTATCATTGTAAGAGCATCAGAGATTCTCTAAAGATAAAGGCACCAGGCACTTTTGGGTCATGCCATAAGTTTATTATTCTGTATGAATGAAAAGCTTTTCCAATCAGCTTTATGAGTGAAACTGTAACTCAAGTTGCAGCGAATATACATTTAACCTGCAGCAGTTGGCATCAGTGAGCTAAAGTAAATTGTTATCTTTCAGAAGAAAACAGAAATTAATAGAAGTTCAGGTGGGCTCCATAGGATTTACACAGTTGCCTTTAAGAACATTTCTCCTAGACTTGTGATGGTTGGCCTGAAGATAGAGCACTTCCCACTCAATTATTGCACATTTTGCATCTCCCTTAGCACACATGAATTCAATTACGCCAATATTACAAAACCAGGTTGCAACTGCTTGGTTGCTCTCTTGATTTCACATGTGATGAACAACTTGGGTTATTCTGGACCAGGAAAGAAGAAGTTGTTCACAGGGAAAAAAACCCCAAAACATTTTTAGACCAATGACTACATAAAATCAGGTCAGAACTATATCACAAATTTTTAAAAATGATCTTGTACTAGAAGAAATTCCATATCACGTGTTTAAAGGTAAGAAACAAAACAAAACTGAGAGAATACTTTTCTAAAGCACTCAAGTGTTTACTGTTTTGAAAATATTAGCCAGAACTTAATGGAAAGTCACATTTTATTACTACAAACGAAACGCATTTTTCTACAATTTTACTAATATGGTTTATACAAGTCACAGTGTTCAAACCTCCACACAATGAGTAAAGCTTCAAAGACTTAACAAAATCTCTTTTCGTGGCTCCTCGATACTCCAGAAGTCGCCATTGCTATTAATATTTAAACAAAGTCAAGACTTCACGTATTAATTTCAAAATTACTCCTAATTGGGCTTTTACTTGGGAAAAATTGGAGGAATGTTTATAAACTTTGCCATAGAAGTGGAATACTCAAGCTCAATAAAACGGTATATTTATAAGAGTAATGTTTTTCCAAGAAGTTATCGTAAAGAAGTAATAGCCACTCTTGCTTTCATTGCAGAAACAGAAGCTTTCTGAAATCCCAAGACAAAAGGAAAGTATGAACATTGTATTTTACACTGAAAAATTGGCAACGCTTTCGGCTGACCTACACTGGACATATTATTACAGCCTGTGCTACTGGCTACAGTTACACTTTAGCATCATGAATTTAACTTTCTTAAAAATTGCCTTTGAAGTAAGTTCAAACTTTTCAGTCCAAACTGTCTCACTGGTAAACTTATGTTCAAATCTTTATTAACAATGATTGGAAAAAAGGTTAATTGGAGACTAAATTAAGGTCCCATAAGTGTTCTAATTCTATTTTAACATTTTAAACAGGTGGTTAGAAGTTCTACATGGCTGCTCCTCAAATATTCAAGATCCTGGGGACTATATCAGTGATCTTAAAAGAGCACTGTATAAAATTATAGCTTTTATAATTGGGGACTAAGTGAGAAAAGGAAGGGGTTGCACGTTCCTCAGAACTGTTAATAATCCTCTTCTAAGAGGATTATAATATTATCTACCCTTTTCATAGTATTATTTACACCTTCCTCAGGGAACCTCAGATGGTGTACCAAATGGTCTCCTAATGCCTGGCACAGAGAAGTAAGAAACTGATGTTTAATGTTTTATTTTAGATTACAGAGGCAGCACACTAATCAGATGCAATTTTTCTCTGATTTTATTTCAGATTGTTTAGAAAATAACAATACATCTAAACTAGAATCCTTGGATATGGCTGTGGCATACAGACTTTGCAGAATATACATGCATTTCAAATTAGCTGGTTCAGATACCGTCTTTGCTGTATTGCAAAAGTAGGATATACCAAACAGTTAAAAAGAGTAGTTTTTATGTTGTTTCTAAATTCTATTTATATGTATATTATTTTCCCTTTGCATATCACTCACTTACACCTTCAATTTATCAATATTAATCCAACAAATAGCCTTGTAAGTATTTTAGTGGACTTGGTAAATTGGTTTTTCAGAGATGAACTGCTGGAATTCTTACTGGATACGTTCACCATTGAAGATGCATTGAAACTAGACGCAGGCCACACTCTTTTGGAAGGACTGCGGCGGATCATGAAGGAAAGAGGTTTATACTAATTCCAGATAATCTTATTTTGGTGTTTGACACAAAAACTTTCTGTTAATTGCAATTACTGGTAAATTCTATGACTAAGTATTCAAAGTTATTAATACATATGCATTCCAAAGACTTTAGAAAATTTAATTGTCTTAATTGGTATGCTCAGGATACTTTGCCTAAAAATGTATACATCTTGGTTACTTCAGTAAGTTTAAGTCCCCAGTTCATGATTTATTGACCAGAGATCCATCTGCCTTTTAAGATTAGTTAATATTCCTTTTCATTAGCCAGTAATCTGACTTCTAGTCTTTGTTGTCTGATGAGTATTGAAATGTTTACATCCATGGTTAGAATTACTTGGTCTACTTGAGTACTCATTATTTGAGTGTGTTAAATGGAGAACAGCATAGCACCTACTGAGAGTAGTCATATTGGAGAAGTTTAAGAATGCCAGTTAATACAACTTTACTCTTTTTTAAGGTTACTCATTCACAAAACTATAGAGTTGGATTCTACAGACTCCTAAGGCCACCTTGCATCCCAAAAAATAGCATCTTAAACCACAGAAGCAATCAATTGCTTGCATAGACGAATCATCCTGTCACCTCATGCCAGCAAGAAACTTTACTTCTGAGAAAGGAAAGGGCATTTAATAGCTTTTGCAGAAAAAATAAGTGAATGTGGGAAAAAAATGGCAAAGTATTTTACACCTGTGCAATGTTTACACTATGTAATCAAAGCCATAACAAAGAAAATCAAAATAAGAGTTTTTTTCTTTCTGTAATGTCTTCTTGAGAATAAACAAGCTCAGCTTGAGCTTCCTTAGCAAGGCAACAACTATTATTACATAACATAAAGCAAAGCTTTTGGATTGTCTGTGTACTTTCTATGACCATGAGTTTTCCGAAAGAAGCCTGAAAATGTATTCATAGTAATAGATTACATGGTCTAAAAAAGTGTAAAAGGTTAATTATACTTATTCTATAATACTAATACTATCTGTTTCTTTCAACTACCTGTCTGAAAGCTATTTTCCCTATCACCTAATATATATGACCTTTTTAAAGGCTATCAACTCATTACGTGTTTGGGTGATGCCAAGCACAGAACACTCACAAAAGCACTGTGTGACCCAAAACTCCAGTGGGTGGCTGTAAATGAGTGAACCTGCTCACCCTAATCCATCTTCAGCAGTAACACTGGATAATTCTCAGAATACTTATTTTTTGCAGAAATGTGGGGAGGAAGTAGAAGAAAGTTATTACAATCATATTTCTTCCAGTCATGCAGAAGCAAATACATATATGCACATATTACCTTTCTGGGAAGAAATTTTTATATGGGTAGAAGTCTTGTGAAGAAATGTGAGTGAATAGACTGAATAATGCTTCAAACTTGTACAGTATCAAGAGACATCTAAATGTGCATGTTAAACATTCACTGTGGCATCTGAGGTGGCTCCCAAAATCTATCCCTCCCCTGCTGGTTGTAGTTCAGTGGATGCATACAATCCATAAAATACTGATTATAATCAGAATTATGCCATCAAATGCTGTTCCTCTTATATAAACTGTCATGTACTACCAAAGAATCTCATCTGAACTCCCTTAATGAAAATTTGCTTCCCGATAATTTTTTTTTTCTTGCACAAGATAGCTTAGAGCTTGGCATCTATATGTCTCCTTGGTCCTCAGCCCTCAAATTCCACCTTTGCAGGATAAAGACAGAGTTAAACCTTGGTTTGATTAATGTTTATATTTTCTGTTAGGCTTTAATAGATAAAAATGTAAATAGGGTCAATGATTACATCATAAGATTTGTTCATACTGGCAGGATCATCTGTATATTAAAATAAAAAAATAAATAAATAGAAAATAAATAGCAAATGTCTCTACTCATCGCCAATAAACAAATAAACCAAAACTTTTTCTGAATCTTATATCATGTTGAAAAAAGCCATTGTTTCCATTTCAAGAAGCTATGAAAGTCAAGGCTGACTAAAATATAAGAAGAGTGATAGAGTAAGTGTCACACTTTGAAACTCTTTATTTACTTAATCGTACATTGCAGTTAATAGATTAAAAGGGAAGCTCCTGTAGTAGTAAATGGTCAGGAATATTGGACTGTACATCTATCCTACTATTAAAGTACTTTTTATTTTCATAATTTATTTTTAAGAGCAGCAATAATCAGCAAAAATTACAAGCTATGTGATTTATACTAATGAAAATGATTAATTATAAAATGTGTTTCTCACAAGCTTTGGGAAAGCTGCCATCTGACTCTAACCACTTAGTGAAAGGATGACATGAAGAATGCTGTTGGTAGGGGATTGCACCACTATTGAACATCCTCCTTAAGAAGGAGGATTTCTTCAGGAAAATTTCTTCTTACAAAGAAACCCATCCAATTTCTTTTTGTTTTCATTTGTCTCAGGGCTCTGACAGGCAACAATAAACTGAACTCAGCTGAAAATTAGGATCAGATGTTGAACTGAGATTAGTTCTGTAAACTTCTCACAATTTGACAAAGATAGCAGAAAAAAAGTCTCTTTTCATTCTATATCTCCCCCCTATATGATTTAAGAAGCTAGATCATCTGGACCAAGACATTAGCTACTGTGATCAGGGGATTTTTTTGTTGTTGTTGTTGTTGAATTTGTTCAGTTTTCCATCCAAATGCTTGCAAGACATTGACACAGGACTGGATTTTTGGTCAGGAAACACATATCCATTACACTGCTTCCCTCCCCCACTTCCCTCAATAAGGCCAGGAAAGATGTACAATAACTGTAGTTGTCTGCAAAGTCTCTTCCCTAGAGATGGGAATAATGAGCTCTTGGAAATGTTTAAAGTCTACTAAATAAGAAAAGCATCTAGCAATGATCTGGTAAAACAGTTTTAAAGCCATGAAATTCCACTCGATATCTCCAGTGCTATTATTTTTAACTGAAAAACTAGGACTACAGCCAATTTTATACTTCTGGAATTATTGTTGTTTTATAAATTGAGTACATATATACACACACATATGCATCTTCTAAGCTGTCTACATTTCCTGGCATTCAATGTAGACAGCTAGTGCTTTAAATCTTCACAAAATTCAGCTAAATAGTCAAGTACCCACCCATCTCTAAATACGTGAAGTATAGATGGGTCCAAAACGCTTTAAGTTCCTTTCCCTTTGTTGGAGCCATTAAAAAAATAAAAGAAAAGCATATTAAGATTTTGAAAATTTATAAATATGATATAATTTCTGGGATAACAACTTAGAAGAGTGAGAAGAGACTATCTCTAGGGATTCCTCCAAGAACCTCCTGATTGGAAGCACGGATAGTGTTGTGAAAGTAGTTACAACATTTAAATACAGCGAGGCAAACTCAGCTTATGCAGTCCAAGTCATTGTACAGTGGCTATGATGTACAAGCTACTGCGTAGCATAGAGACTAACAACCCCCACACAGAGAAACACTACAAATAACAGCCCTGAATGTCCATTTGTCAACTTTGAGATGTTATTTCTTATCCTTCAAGCATCAATAGAGGCTAGAAGCATCACAAAAGCTATCTCGTACTAGCTGCGTGCCCAGAGTTCAGCTCTTAAATGTAGCACTCAGCAGCTAAACTTTTTCAAAGCTTGGCTTGAGTCTCCAGCAAAAATTCTAGAAGACTTCTGAAGTCATAAGCAATAATGCCATAACCTGAATTCCAAAGGAATCTCCTCTCTGTGAGGACAAGTGACAGAGTGGCTTTCACTCTGTCCTACAAAAATCCCTTCATTTAGCTCTCAGCTTTCATCTCTAGTCCAAAAAAATCTCTATTGCCCTTTTGGTAGCTTCAAAGTACTTTAAAGACCTTCTTAATAGACCAAAGTGGTTTTTAGATGCTGGAATCTCACATTTTTTCTGATGTTCTTGCAGTGTTTGCTTGGTAGAATTCGAACACAGATCCAGTTAAGTGTTGCTGTACGAGACAGCATTATCTTTATGCCAAGAGACAACTTCTTCTCCTAGAAGTACAGGGTATACCCTCATCAGGACTATCCGTAACGTACCTGATGTCGGAAAAAAAACAACAATTTTTCAAACTGCAACATCACAAACAAACCACAAAACCCATATTTACATTAACATTGAGGCCTCATCACCATATTGCACCATCCAAAAGTGAAAAATACATACCTCTTTCGACAATGCCAAAGCTCACAGAGAATAGAGAAGTTGAAAGGGAACTAGAGCAATCATCTAGTCTAACTGACCACCTCAGGGCTGACCAAAAGTCACAGCATGTTAACAAGGCCATTGCCTAAATGCCTCTTAAACACTTACATAATGTGTTTCCCTCTGGTCCAAGAGACTGCTAGAAAATAGCAAGAAGCTTGTTAGTGCAAAAATAAGGCTGTACAAAGTGTAATGTTTAGCTGGATCCCTTTAAACACATTAGCTCTGCATGTCATTATTTGACCAGAGCAGATCTAACTGGAAGAGACTTAGCAAACTGTGAAAGAGGGAGCTGCATCCCCAGGATTAAGCCAGATGGTTGTTACACAGGGAAAACAGGTGGGGTCTATCACTGTAAAGGAGCAGCTACACATAAAGAAAGAGGAAAAAAAGTCGTGTGGAGCAAACTTGATTTTCTCAAATACATTCCCAACTATTTACAGCAAAACGTATGCTTTTGATCATAATTTTATGTTGCAGCATTAGTGTTCAAGTAATATTATCAAGTAATATATCAACTACAGAAATGGTACCCAAGTTTTCATTTCTTATTTTTGTTTAGTAGTAGGGTATGTGACTACAAATATTTTGAAACTCAGTATGACAGATTTGGAATTATACCAACAAAATTAATAATAGTATAGAAGCAGTCATTGAGACAGTAGGATACGTGGCAAAAGTCCTAAGTCTGTATTCACCACACAGTCTTTTTTTGGATATTTTGCAGAGTTTAAATCATAAACAGATGTTTGTGGAAAGAAACTGTCTCCTCTTTCTTACATACAATGTATTAATCACTCTAAAATAAGACTATAAAGATAGTATCTTGCTGAGTCCTTTGTACTTAGCAAGGTTGCTAAATACTTAATTTACATCCTATTTGAGACAAAGCTCAAGAAGCAAAATTTGAGATGCTTCAGTAATCTACAAAAACAGTTCTAAAAACTATTCAAATACTTATAATCTGGAAGCTGACTAAAGGATGCAGTGCCCCACCATACTGGATGGTGGTAGACAACAAAATCTCTGCCTTCAAGCGTTATGGTTCCAAAGAAAAGAAACCATCCTGCAGCCTTCCTGAGACTGAATATACAAACAAATTAGTTTGAGAAAGAATGAACACAATTTAGTTACATTATGACATTCTTTCCTTATTTTTGTAGGGACAGTGATAGCAAGGAAGTAGTAATGAAGCTGAAAAGTGGTAGTTGTTGCTTATCATCTGCTTATCCCTTAATAAGGGACTGGGAAGGGTGAAAACTGTGGTGTGCTATGACGGAACCAGCCAAGGAACGAAGGCTGTGGGACATACAACTGCCAGCTAGAGCATGACAGAGACAGCAGAAGTTAGGAGATCATTAAATGAATTAGATAACCAAACTAACATATTTAGAAAACCTCATACTTAGAATTACAAATGAACAACTGAGGAGGATATAAGAGAGAACAGCTGTGACATA